CTCAATAATATGAAATATAATCATAACTCAAATACCCTTGCAATCCATATAGACAATCTAATAACCAAGTCAGGCAAAAACATAAAATTGATATGGACTCCCGGCCATTGTGGGATTACGGTCAACGAAAAAGCTGATAAATTAGCTCGACAAACTGTTAACAATCCTACGACGGAAATAGTCTTTTATTCCTCTCTAATTGATATTCATAAAAATTTGAACAACCATTGTCTCAATCTATGGGAACTTGAACGGTGACGAATACCCAACAACAAGCTCAGAGAAGTTAAAAACACAACAATCTACTGGCCCATACCCCAATAATTCAATCGAAGAAAGGAAGTAACTATTCACAGACTTCGAATAGGCCATACAAAAATGTCCCATGGTCATTTAATAAGTATAAACGAACCCTCAGTATGCCAATCATGTGGAATACTTCTATCAGTAATAAATCTGTCATCCACTGTCGAGCCCATACAGAAGAAAGACATTATCATAAAATCCAGGACAATATGCATGAAGCCCTAGGACCAAACGAGAATAACCTTCACAAAATAATAACTTTTTTAAAATCAATTAATATGTACCATATAATTATATTTAATAATAATTTTTCTTTAACATGTTCTAATTATAATTCTGTAAGCTAATAAACATGTTGTTGAAGCTATATCATGAATAACAAAAATAAATAAATAAATAAATAAATAAAATCCATTAAAAAAATTGAAAATATTCTAATAAATGAACTTATTTTCAAGTATTAATTCATTACCTTATTATAAACTTTAATTACATTTTATATTTAAATATAATAAAAATAATATTTGATTGTAAAAACAGATGGGCTGAAAACTTTAACAGATTTAAGTAAAAATTTTAAAGTTATTTTTGAAGTCACTGATAATTTTTTGTTTTTCAAATTTATTTCGAAACTACTATCTGGGTCTTTATTGATGTCTTTTTTCGCTTGGGAGGGGTAGAGTGTAACTAAAGAGGCACATGTACACCCTTCTCTAAGAAGAGAAATTACATGTGTGTGGAGTTCCCTCCCAGTGGAGTAGGTCCGGTGGGAGATAGAGTAGGCAACCAGAATGACGGCAGGGGAGGAACTCTACAGAAAACTCTGCAGAATATTTTTTGCATTGAGTCGGGTTCGAACTGGTGACGGTGTGCGTCATGGCCACTTTGTGTGACCACTGCACCACTCTGCTACAACTAATAATTTTGAAAAACACGTTTTCGTCAATCTATCATACCAATGATAAATTGAGTTTGACAATCGATGTTGGTTCTAACAATATATGTGCTAAAGTACAACATTTAAATTGAATTATTTGCGACGAGTGATAAAAAATATTTTACATTTGCAAACACATAACAAAAAAAAATAATTATTCAAAAGTATCTAACAAGTATCAGCGTGTTCTATTGTTGATTAAACGAGTTAAATGCAAGAAAATTACAACATATAAACCATAAGAAATAACATGGAATTAAACATAAAATGTTAGCTCCGTTTTATTGGAAATGTTTGAATGCATTTGCACAAACAACTGGTTTTCTTCACGAAAATCATAACCTTATTAGCATACAATTAGAATATTTAACATTTCTAAATTAAATAAATATTATTATAGACTACAAATATTATTTTTTTTATATTTTAAATAACATAATAATACTAAACTCAATCCATTAATCAAAATAAAAAATGAATTATCGAAGAAATCAAGTGTATAAAAATATAGCTTCAAAAACAATCAAAATATGAAATGTTATATGGGGTTTGCGCTTACTATGAAATGGATTGAAATAAAATATTACTTTGTACGTAGGTACGAGAGAGCCAATCATTAATTTGTTAATTTTATAGTAAACGACCCTAAAAACGACAGCTTCTATTAACCATTATGTTATTTCAAATTTGATATCGATTTACAGAGCACGTTCAGTTTATTCACTTCTCCACGTAAAATAAAAAAAATAATTTATTTTTATAGACGTAATTTACTATCGAATTAGGTGAATACAAAATATTATTGTGCATAACTGATTAGATTATATCTATTTCAATAAAAATAAGCAGGTGTAGCCTAGATTTCTCTTTTTCGTGCAATGTCCATTCTTATTTCATGAAAAAAAACTATTTAATTTTAAATTTACAACTCCTACATTAACTTTTATCATTTTTAACATAAAACGAGTATTATTTTATATTACAGTAGGTATTTTAATTTTAATATTATTATTATTTTCAAGTATATATTTTATAGAAATTAATAGAATTTTGTCTATGAAAACAAGGATTTTATCCTTAGTGATAGACCAAGCAGTACAAATTTGTGTAATATTAAAATATATTTATCAAAGTTTTATAATTTCTCAATACTGGTGATGATAAATCGACAATTAAATTGTATGTATGTATAATATTAAGGTTATACAATTAAATATATGGTTTTTTTTCTGTCATTGTGTTTAATAAAGTACTATAAATTTATTACCGAGTTTTATTATTTACAGATCAGCGTCATCAATAAGCTGAAAGACCATAGATAAAATACTTTTATTAATTAGTAAATTCAACAAAATAGCAATAGAATTCCAAAAATGTCATTTGAAAATGTTAAATTTTAATATTTCTTACATTTTACAAACGTATTTAAAATATACTTAACAATAAATTAGAGTAATAGGAAAAAAGTTGCAAATGCAATAACATTCGTATCATATTTTAACTTTAAATGTTCCGCACGAATAAAGGAAGTGGTTTTAGAATATATGTGACAGGTATTCTAAACATTGTGACAGTTTTAAATCTCTAGTGTATTTTATTATGTAAATCGGATGCTAGTTGTTTGAACAAATATTATGATAATAACATAATATATTATTATTATGGAGGTATATACGTATGAAATATGTTAAATTCCTCTATAAATTATTTAAGTATACCTATATGAATAAAATAAAAAAATTATCGGTATTGGATTAGATAGGCATATCTACATATCTATCAGTATATTCATTTGATGAGGTTATACTTACAATGATTCATTTATTTGCTTTTTTGAAGAAACGTTGCCAGTAAGACACAAGTCATGGTTGTTAGTACAGTATAGTAACTCATTAATATAGTTTGATGAATCATCGCATTTGAAAATCAATTCTGCTCAAAGGTTGGCAAATAGGGTAAATAATGAGTAGGTATGTTAAAGTTAAATTGTACATATATTATCTTATCAGATTATTAAACTCATCCAGTATAATATTATAACTCAAATATTGCAAACGGAATTCAATATTATTTTGGTTATTTTCAAGAAGCATTCAAGATAAGACATATTTAAAAAAAAAAAAAAAAATGATCATGATGGCAATATTCGTGAAAGTTTTTATTTTTGATATACCTATTTCATAATTTAAGCTTGGAAAATCTTGTAGAACCGAATTTACCGATTTATTAACGCTAGATAAAACGGTTCGCCTTGCACACAATTTTCAAACTATAAGATATTGAATCAATAATTTTATAAAAAGCAGTATCAACGGTCATCGAACAACATTTTATACTATTTTCTAGAATATAAATAAATATAAAAATAGTTTATGTTTAGAAATAAATAAATGCTTGTAATGTATTATTATATTTTGTAAAGTACGAGTTAGAATAGAGTACGAGTTAGTATCAAGTTAGACGTTACCAATTAAAAGTTCATCGTCGGGTATATAAAATAAATTAAATCACTACTCGTTTTATTTTATTTTTTATTATTTTATTACTATTTTCTAATATTTTCAGATCGTCTTTCGTTCATCAAAATAATGAAGGAAAAGTTAAAAAATTATTCATGTATAATTTATGATCTATGTCTAATTATCTATATTGAAAGTATTTATACTGCACAAAAATTATAATTCTGATTTTTTAGTAGGTACCCGAAATAATGTATACAGAAAAAAATATGTTATTGTAAAACCTATGTAAAATTCGAATTTTCCTAAAATCTTTAATAAAATCATGGAAATGCATATTATTATTGAGGTATTCATCAATTATAGAAATTATTGCATAAAATTATTAATAATAATTATATTCTTGGAATAAGTAATTTTTTAATTTCATTTTATTCTTGAAATTAGTGAGCTTTTATTTATATTATATTTTTATTTTGACTAATTTTTTTTATTTGGCTCTTAATTCCTTTTTCTTTTTTTAAGACCTTTGGTCATTCGAGAGAAGTAATCCTTTATTAGTATATATATATAAAGAATCGATAAATTGAATAATTAAGTGTAAGTTTAATTAAAAGTTTTCTATCTGAGGAAGTAAAAATATATTGTATTGAGAGTAATAATAATATGGCAACAAATAGATAAAAAAATTTTTAAACAAAAGACAATGATTAAGTGTTGCAGGGTACTCATCGGAATTCACTCATATAGGAGGTGAACCTTTGGAGGTTAGTCCTCTTAGAACATCAATAAAGTATTAAAATACTGAAAATAATGATTAACTTTAGTTAAGAACTTTAAATCAAAATGTCATTCCTAATTGAATTTGTTTTTGGGGATTGCCAACGGTCGGTTTTCAAGGGGTTCAGTATAAGCAATTATTTTAGTGCGTGCGCGCATGCCTTACACGTGTGTGTATAGTAAATGATCATTAGGGTTAGTGAGGTTGTATAACCACCTTTCTCTCTATTATAGACCCTAGTCGCATTGTTATGGCAAAATTGTTTATAAATAAAATAATTTTAAAATAATAATGTTCATCTGTGTTCTGCAATCGCGTTGGCCCACATGATTTCGTTGTACATACAATTTAATATAATTTAATAGTTGTAAGACTACCCAACTATTATATCTACTAAATACATTTTCTTCTTTTCGAAAATTAATGATTTTAAAATAAACAAATCATTGGTACTTTGCATATGTTTTATATTTATTTTTTTTATTTATTTTTATTTTTTTTATTTAAATATCGAGGATTCACTATTTTTGGCACCATGTATTCAATATAGAATTCTGATAAAATCAGCTACATTCTATTATGGCAGAAATCATCATCGCGTTCAATTTTATCCTCACAAATTCCTTATAAAAATAATTTAAAAAAAAGTTATAATAATGAAATAATAATAAATAGTACGTACAGTAAAATGTATACCTTTTGGTGTCCATACAACAAAGTAGCAATATTTTCGGTCTGTTATATGCAACTGTCCTTGTGTCTGGTAGTAATAAGAATGAATTTTTTTTAAAAATAGGTTACCCGATTGTACATACATAAATTTTAACTTTTTTTCTTTGTATGCATCAAGAAGAGTTAAATCTTTTATAGAAAATGGGCATTTAATTTCTATAATTGAATCATCCCCAATAAGACCATCTGGCTTTGTTGCTAAAAATGGAAGGAGGATCAACAAACAATCCTGCTGGAGCTACTTCATATCCGAATTTTTTCTCAAATTCATCTTTAGCAATAGATTCAAATTGTATGTCATACCTAGTTTAAACGATCAATATAATGTTAATTGTGCTTTTATAATCTGATGATGACGAATGGTCAAAATTAGTCGTTGTACATAATACTTTAAACACTGCATTATAATATATTTATATTTTTCGATATATAATTAATTTTTTTATTTAATAATTTAAGTAAACTAATAATAAGTTGAATTCAAAATTGTAAATTTGGCATTCGATGTAATTTACTTATAGAGTCATCACCATAAAATATTTATTATTGATAAAAAAGTATAATAATGTTAGTTTTTCACACAGGGACTACATAATAAATTACTAATTAAAAATTACCTTATAGCAGTAGTCCCATGAAAATAATGCGATTGGTATAAAATTGAAATTAGACTATTTTTTCGAAAAGTTGTTTTTCGTAATTTACAAACCTTCCCGAAATTGGACGTAATTAACCTTTTGAATCTTTCTTTTACCCATTCTTCACAATTCGCTTGTTCCACTATTCGATGTTGTAATGCGTCAATTTCAAACTTATTTAATTTCAAAATTGTTAAAAATTCTAATTTTTTCTCTTCAAAATCTTCACGGGACATAGTTAATATCTGGCCATATAATTCGTGATTATTTACTGCTCCATAATCGGTGTCCGGTCCACAAATTATCTTTTTCCGTATTTTAAGACTACATAATTTTTTAAACATAATTTTACACAATGCAATACTTTTACTTTATATCAACCTATACTTCATCACAATATAATTACTTGGTATTAGTTGACTGTTTACTGACAAGTCGACGTCTATGGAGAATTTTTTTTTTTTCTTAGAAATATATTGTTTTATATATTTCCCAGGGCTAAAGTTTGTTACTTTTTTATGAATTGTCTGAGATGAGAAGGACCATAATTATACGCAGATACTGCGGTATGACAACGTAAATTATATGAGCCTACATTTGTAAATATTAATGGAATTATTATAATTTGATATTGAAGCAGTACGAAATCAAGTTACCTTTAAATGAAAAGTTAACACGTTTACCGCCTATATACTTAGCAACTATGCTATTGTAACCTTTAACACAGTTATTATTAACATTGTGTATTAAACTATTAGCGTGAAATGCTACCAAATTTATTGCTGCCATTAAATCATTCCATATACCATATTTTTGTAATTCAGGGACTAAATTATTTTCATTCTTTTTAATCCCCTCACAAAAATACCTGAACAAAAATATAGTTGTTGACTGTAGTTTTATTGGGTACACCAATTCAATCAGATACCGTTTATCTGTCACATCTAATATGACATCCAAGTACACGAAGAAGTCCATTCAAAATATAATTTTTCAATAATTTTACTTTTTCATTAAATGAAATATTCATTTCTTTTCTATAATGTATAGCTTTTGACACAACGAATCTGTGAGTATGTATAATAAATTAAAAACTTATAATTTATAAAACAGTCATTGACATTTAAGTGTTTACTTGCCTTAACCTAAATAAACTCTCTTTTATTTTGGTTCTAATAAATCCGGGTACAACAATACCAGATGTACTCTTTCTTTTAATAAAAATATCTCTATACGAGTTGAGTAATTCCGTAAAATATGATTACTACATTAAATTGTTTGTACTACTACATAATTCCCGTAAGGTTTATTTATTCGTAGTTTTTTAATTCCGCTACTGTCACCATCTTCGATTAAATTGTTGTAAATTAAATTATGTGTTTTCATACTTTGACAGAATCCATCCACAATGATATCAAACTCCATAGAAGTTGATGTTCCAGTCCAGTTTTTGTAACAAGTGTGGGTGGAGGGGGTTTTTTGTAATTACTCTGCTCTTTGACACACGGAGCAATATTTGTTGCGTATTCTGATGTATAATATCTTTTTTGTTTTTTATCCAACTATACAACCCTGTACAAAATAATTTAATTTACATTTTTATTTTTTATTACACTGTTTATTCTTAATAAAAATATTTAAAATTATTATAAATAATGATAATCAAATCGAAATTACTTTAAATAAATTATCTATTTTCATTTTATATATTTTATTAAAAATAAACCAAAAACCGAGTATTTAATTACGTGTATTTTTTAAACCTAATATATACACTCAGTACTAATAATTTCTTCTTTGTTACACACTTTACAATGAAAAACAAACTGACTATAAAATCCCGATTGAGTTTCATTTATCAGATTTAAATCTGAAAAAGTACAGTTAAACGGTTCATGCTTTATTTTTGAAATTGTGTCAAAAACATATTGCATGTCTACTATTCGTCTACCATTAATTATGCAAACCCTAAATAATGAGTAAAACACAACATTTTAGAAACTATATTTAGGTAAAAACTTCTATATTATAAGACTAAGTTTATATTTCTATTATAATATAATAAATAAAATATTATATTTAATATAATTAAACTATTCATTTATTCTACTTTTTCTTTTTTATGTGTACTTGTGACAACCAGTTGGTAAGTCGAATCTAGTACGTTGTGGTTAATATTTGACGTTGGTGATAATAAACGACAACCCATTTCTAAATCATCCAAATTTCTTCTAAATATTAATAAAAATTGTATCAGTAGCTCAAAATGTGCGAATATTTTTTATTTTAAAAATGTTTGTAAAATGAAAAATAAAATAAAAATATATTTACGTACAATTCATTACCTCGTCGCCGTTATTTTGACATTCATGTAGTACAGACGTTAGATTTTCTCTGTTTTCCTACAAAATAACAATATAAAAACACGAGTATAAAATAAATAATTCAATTTATTCAATTCAAAATAAAATTTGAATCAAATTCAAATCAGTTTTCAAAATTTTTATCGCATGACTAGGTCGATTTTTACAGTTGACAAAAGATTCGTAAGTTTTAGTTAAAATAACCGACCATTGGAATCCCCTTAACCTAGATATTATACCTTGATAAATTTCTAATAAATTTTCAATTCATGGATCATTTTTACTTTAAATAAAACTTCTAAAGTTGGACGTAATTAAACTTATCTTTGAGCATGCTATATCTGAAAGTACACTCATTGACATACTCGTACTTTAAAGTACAAAAACCTTACCGTTATTAGACAAAACTAAAAATGTAGGTACGTAAAGAATTTTCTAATGTATAACATGCACTAAAAGAATCTATAAAATACATTACGAACAAATGTTTAATAATACGTCAGTAAAATTAAAATATTCAACAAAAAACGAATGGTCGATGATCCCGCAAAGCTTTTGTTCAAAATCGAGTAAAAAGACACAAAAAAATGAAAGAATAATATTAAAAAAACAAACATCAGGATAAAACAAAGACATTCCTAAGTTAAATTATAATGCAAAAATAAGTAAAGAAATGTATAAAAATATTATTTATTGTACGTTTTTAAATAATATCTTTAATGGACATATGACGTTACAATAATTATAATCCGTATGAACTACAAACGTGTTAACGATTTATGCAAAAATGCGGTTACAGAGCGAATGTCGTAAGGCATGTGCTATCGTACATTTGTGTACGTATGTATGTATAAATACTAAAAAATGACTTGAGTTTCTTTCCCATACTGAATAATATTGCGATTATGTATGTTACTCGAGAATTCATAAATTATAATCGTTGGAATTATTTTCTTTAATGTATGGTTCTTTTTTTGCACGTAAATTAATCTTGTGAGGCGAAGTTCATATATGTATATACATATAAATAAATGTAAACATTAATATATTATTCTTTGAACCCGAAAGTTCTAATAAAATCCTTCTGGGAAAATGTTAAAGAAAACGTAAAATACACGTTTAATTCGGTTTTTATTTTTATTTTTCCTAGTTAATTTTTTTTCGAACAACCAATTATTTTTGTTATGAAAATATAGTTCAAAGGCACAGCATGAACATTTTTATTTGACGAAGAGTGTCTCGATTAAAAGTGAAAAGTGTTATTGGTTACAACAGAGCAAAGATGATTCGTTATGCCTGATAATTTTTAGTTTAACTTCTACGAAAAATCCATAAGATTTTACTTTATTAAATTTATATATTACTCAGCGAGTACAAAATCTAGAGTCAATTCTCTACATTCAATGTAGGGTAATATTGAATAAATAAAAAAAAAAAAAACCCTATTTAATTTAGTAATGAGTCATTACTCATTACTAATGACACTGGGTTTGGTAAGGATACAATATTTTTATAACGTATGAATCGTGTAATATATCGGGTTATTTATTTATTCACGAATTGTCTCCATTGTTTTTAATCATTTAAATTGAGACTTCACAGCAAATTAAAATTAGTTTATTATATATATGTTATAGTAACTGATCAAAACTAATCGAAAATGTTTAAGCTAATAACGCGTTTTAATGTTTAATCTACTTTTAAGGATTAAAGGATAGCATTTATTCGCTGTGTAAACGGTGTGTTTACTTGAAATAAAAACAAAATAAAACGAGATTTTGCATACTTATGTGTAATACTAACAATACCACTAGAACTTTCCACAAATGTATTCGAAATATTGTGTATCTTTAGTATAATTAATTTTCAAACTTATTGTTTTTCAACACCGATTTCAAATTATTACATTAACACATAACTATAGTATTTTGGTACTGTTATGAAAATAATATGAATAATTTAAATTTTAATAATGAATTTGTATTTTCAATTTCAATCTAATTTAAAATGATTGGTTTTTTTTTAGAATAAGGCTTTAATTACATAATTATTAGCCTTTTGTGGATTTAAGATTCAGACCTAAAGAGGGGTTACATAATGTGAGAGAATTCAAGAATTCATACAAAACTATTGTTTATTACATAAAGTGAATAATGGTAAATAGGTAATTTATAAGTTTTTGTTTAAATTAGTTTGAAAAATTCAAAAATGTTGGAAGTGTTTCGTTGGTCGAGGACTTCTTCTGTCAATGTAGGACTATTGAGAAAATTATGTGATTAAGAGTATTTTAAGCAGTCGATGATGATATGTGCGATTGTAATAGAAACTAAACACGCAGATTTGTGCTTTTTGGTGATAAGGTACAAGGGCGTGAGGTGAGAGTGACCTATTCTGGCTCTGTTAATAATTATTTATTTTTTTTTTTTATCGATTTATTTAAGCATTCATTAATAATAAAAAACGTACAATAAAATACAATAAAATAAGAGCATAATATTCACAACAAAGTTAACCATCCCGTTATGGATATAAATTGTATTTAGACATTTAATGGTTTAGCTGGAGTTCAATGCTAGAGAAAAATATAATATCTCCATTTTACGATCAACATTAAAAAAATAGAAAACCGCTAAAATGTAACGAAGTGATTTGCAAATGTAGCACGAGCAAGTAAAAAAGTATATGGGCCACATCTGGCCCGCGGGCCACTAGTTACCTATCCATCTACTATATGAATAAACTCTATCTCATAGGTTCTTAACCTGGGGTCCATGGACCCCTTGGGGGTCCGTAGATGGTTACTCGGGTGTCCACGGGGTGGTTGAGAATTTTTTTAAAATAAGCCAAAAATAAATTGGTTTGATAGCGTGTTTAAGATAATTATAATTGTTAAAACACTTGAAAACCATTTGAAAGACAATGTTTTAAAATATAAAACTCAGATTACAATAATGTTATATGCCATATAAAGCTATCGTAATCTTAAAATAATATAACATAGCAATACAATCTAACGAGCATTTCAATTTAATACGGAAAGCTATCACTTCTCTTGACCCGTAGCTAGGGGCAAATCTGATGCCTAGTTAAGGGGAGGGAGATCGAATTGGAATATGTATGAGTGGTTTATAGAGTACATTGAATCATTGACCGTTATTTAACCGATTTATTGAAAAATAAGTACAACAATTAATACAAATAATTAACTACGTATCTTTATTTAAGTATATATAAGAATTCATTATTCAAAAATATTAATTACAATAATAATTTAACATTAAAGACTTATTCTATATTTACAATAATGTCTTTATGTGTGTGGTACACGAAGTATTTCATTGTGAAATAAGCTATTGATAACACTAACCATATGCTAATAATAATAATATTGATAACACAAATCTACGTTTGGTTATCGATGTCTAGGAATTAAATAAATCTAAAAATACGGTTTATAAATATTCCTATACCACGGCTTATTTGTATATTATAAAATCAACGGTTATAGTTTGGTCGCTCGATCACAACCTCGGTCGTATATGATCACAACTATTATTTATTATCATAAAACATTCTACTTATAAAAATATATACATCATTTATAGGTATTTTTAAAATTATTATATATACCTATATAAAAAATATTAAATAAATCTGTAAAAAAAATAAGCCCAAGGGGGAGCAATCGCCACGACGCCCCCCCCCCAAGATCCGCTCCTATCCGTCAACGTATAGTAAAAATTATATTTATTATATATATATTTTTTTAAGGGGGGTCCGTGATTATATTTTATGCTTTAAAGAGTCCATGGCCTGAAAAAGGTTAAGAATTTATGCTCTATCTACATTATACAAGTAGTTATTAAAAATAGACAGAAAAATTTTATATAATTTTATATTTTTGTACATTAACATATTTATATATTCTAAATACGTACTTACAAGTTAATCTTAAATGTGTTTCAGTCATTTAATCGAATCAAGATAACAGTTGTTAATGGTATTCATTTCGAGAAAATACAAAAATATGCTGTTGATATATATATATATATATATATATGTTAAGGTAAAAGTACAAATACCGGTAAAACCTAGAATACACAAAATGGTTTGGTTAAATACCGATTTATTTTTGTAGTTTGGACTTTTGCAAACGAAATTTGATAAATTTTAGGATAAACAACCAGCGTTGGTAAAAGTCCAAAGTTTTTTCCAATTATGCGTTTTTGTTCCCCTAGCATTATACTCCTATATAAGAACAATAATTAATATTGTTTAAGTTTATTAGATACTATATTGACTACTACTACCTACTAGCGTATTAGATAATTACACACAGTTATATTATTATTAATTATTATACATTGTAATTTACTTGTATATTATGATTACAAATTATTATACTGTGATTGAATTTGGGAATTTTCATTTCGACATTAACATAAAATATATGTTACTACAAAACAATATGTTGTAAATACAATTTATTTTATAATATGAAACTGGTTCCAATACAAATAATAGATTGGTATTCAGGCCTATTGAAAATCATTTTATGAGGAGTATTCATTTTAAAATTGTCGTGAATTGTACACTATTATAAATTTAATATTTCACTTAAAATACGGCTCAACAAACTTATGAATGGTGTTGAGAGAAATTAAAAAAAAAAAAAACTCTTTATGTATAACTAGTGAAAAACATTATATACTATTAAATGAAAACGAAGGATTAAAATCTGTCAATGTTAAAAATCAATTCACTATCGGCGACTTAAATAATTCGATATTGTTAATATTGGCGAAGAAAAAAACTGAATGCTCTGATAAATGGTGCTTTCGAAGAAATGCTATATTCGTTATAATGATTTGTATGAAATCAATCATGAAGCACGGGTCACGGAGATAGAAATCCTACTATATTTAAATAATTCTTCTTCTCCTTCACTTTTTTCTATATATAAAAAAAAAAAAATTAATAAATAGTTATTTAATATAATTATTTTTAAGTATGAGTATTAATCAAGGGAACAAATTAGAAAAAAACCCATAAAAAAACAAACACATAATTAGTTAAAAATTAAGGACTTTTACTAGCGCTGGTTGATTGTCCTCGAATAAATTTTGCTTGCAAAAGTCTGAACTATACCGAACTATAATAATCATTTAGGGTTTTACCAAACTATTTTGTGTGTCTTAAGTTTTATTAAAATCAATTCGTTAATGTCTAAAATCCGGACATTTATCGACTGCAGCCGGTTAAATCTAGGATTTACCGGTATTCTTATTTTTACCGTAGCATATACAGTTTCCCAGAATGATTAGACAATTGGAATAACTTTCGTTCTGTTTATTATTTTTCATTTTTTTTTTTTTAATAAATACTTAGCTCTTGTGCTATAATTAAATTGAATTCAAATATATTTTTGATATTTAGAATTCAAATTTGAAAATTTAAAATTGTATTCTACTGTTTGAAAAATATCCAAAATGGCCATTTTGTAAATCTGATTTTTAGAAAAAGTATGTTTTAAAAATAATTTTTTAAAGTTTAACTATTGATTTATTACGAATTTTTAAAATTGTGAATTTAATAATTAAAATTATTCTAAAATTATTGTACGTTCTATGAAGATAACATTGGTAATTACAATTAAGTTTTCCATCAAATCATGTACATGGTTTAAAATGTTCTATGCATTTGAAATTTAATATAAACATAAAAAAAAATTTGCTATCAGTATCATTATTGTTGAAGTAGATAAGAAGGTTATTAATTATTCGATTAATATTTAATAATTATTTCAATTAATATTTATAATTGTAACAAGTTTTTTAGCACATATTTTATATTGCTGTCCTTCCATAATAATCGTATAGAGCCGTGGTTTTCAACGTAGAGGTCGCAAAATATGGTTTGGGGTTCTTAAAAATAATAAAAAAAAAAATGGTTATTAAAATAAAAATATATTATTTTAAATATCAATCTGATAATTATGAATGGTACAATAACATATCGAATAAAATAGCGCGTGACATAAACTTATCTGACAATGATTATTAACTATAAACGATTGTGGGTACAGATTTAAATTTAATTGTCATTTAATATCTCGTTATATTTACACTCGTACCGTATACATGTATTTCAGCAACTTCAGTTACAAATTTATTATTTAATAACCTAACCCAGAGGGTCTCCAAACTTTTTTATTCAAAGGCCACGAAAAAAAAAAAAAATCAAATGCTCTTAATGGACCAAAAACTTATTAATATATAATTTTTAATTTTATGAAAATATAGGTAAATAAACATGTTAACTTTAAATTTTTTTATAAAATATTATACAGTGAAATCTCTAAGTACCGGACACTCTTGGTCGTCATAATTTTGTCCGTTATTTAGAGATGTCCACTATTCAAAGAGGGGAGGGGCAGGCACGCCCGTAGAGATGTAGCTCACTATGTGCAAAATATTTTTAGTGTCAATATAAGCTGTGGGGGGGCTTTGCCCCTCACACCCCCTAATACTAATTAAATGACATATATTATTTATCATCAATGATGGGTATAACAAAATAAATTTAAAGCATAATTTATTTTATTTATTACTTCTAATAAAAATGTATATTATTGTTTACATTAATACAATATTAATCATTGAAAAGCAATACCAACCACCTAGACTCAATATATACTTTTCAATAATACCTTCTAATTGCTGTTAAAAAAATTCCTTAATTTCGTATCTTCGTCGATGAATATTAATCAGACCTAAACTACTTAACTTTTCATTTCCTATTCTGTTTCTCAGCCATGTTTTTAAACGACGTAATGTACTAAAAATATAATGACAATTTATTTTATAAGAATAATATACCGAATCAAAATTAGAAATATAATATAGAAAATATTACCTGAAAGATCTTTCTACTGAACACGAAGTTGCAGGTAAAGTAATGGAAATTTGTATAGCCATACATACATACATATAACTTCACAGAATATATTCTAGAAAAATGTTTCATGGACGCGATGAATCAATGGACAGATAAGATTAACTATAAATATATAATAATTTATAATTCATAGTAGTAAGATTAGATTAAATTGGCATTCAACGATTATTCTATATTCAAGGTAAAAATTGTAAAAATCAAAATTAAATTTCCATAAAAGTGTCCGGTATTTAGGGGTTTTCCTATATGAAAGTAGTGAAAATGTCCCCGTTCCCATAAAAACGTCCGCTATTCGGAGGTGTCCGTTATTTAGAGATATCCGTCAAGGGGGGTTTCACTGTATATATATTAATATAAAATATAACCAAACGGATTTTGAAAAATATTTGTCTTCAGATTTTACGTCAGTCAGAAAAACGTTGTTTAAATTTAATTTTAAGTTCAGAAATTATTTTTTGAACAAAGTCGATTGGAAATTGTAATTTACATTCTTTATTATATTTATCGCAAGTAAAAAATGAGTAAAACAATTTTTTGAAATTTGTGTTTCAAATAAAATAAATTTTGCCTAAATGCTTTTACTAATATGTCTTATATTTACTGATATTTATATATCTATATTTACCATGCGTCCTGTGTAGGCCACGGGCCGGTTGAAACTTGTTCGTGGGCTGTAGTTTGGAGACCCATCTCTATATAGCATACCCACTATAGAATATAGATATTATGTGTAGTTAACAGCAGAGGCGATGATCATTCGTTATGATCTGATAATGAAACCAAGAAATTGTTTGTAGTGTGAACTGACGACATGTTTTTTTGTGTTGCATTTGTTGCGTACATTTTTCGGTCTTATTGCTGACATAGTGCCAAAGTGCTTCCACTGTTGGTTGATTCTTTCCACAAGTCACTCAAGCCCTCACATGGTAAATAATATACATTGCGCTTATTGAATTCATTTTTTGTGTATAGATTGTATAATTTTCTAAGTTGAAAAAAAAAAACAAAAATAGTTTGCTGACATTATCGTCGAAACATAATCACGGTGTCGATTGGCCGTGAACGAATGCCAAAGTGATGTCTATGTGAACCGGTACAGATTCTCAGTTGGTGCGAGAAAAAGATATGGAAAATATACTGCGGCAACGTGGTAATAATTGTTTTTTACCGAGAGGGAAGAAGGGGGCAGGGTGTGATAAATGTGACGAGATAAATATGAATTTCGTTGGTTTTTACGACGTCCGCAGTGCTATATTGTTGGCATGATATTTCAATACCGATGAGGCCTTTTCGTTTTCGACGATAGTGTTCCGAGCAGGATATTGCGTTTATGCACACGCACTCGTATTTAATGTACACATTAGAGAAGCCACAGGGTACGCGTGAGAAGGAGAAGTGTTAAGCCAACCCGGATTCGGTTATAAATCACAAGATAAATCTGTTAACGCACGTTCGTTGGTTTTGTTGTACAAACGCATAGGCGGTTGGAACACACGTTGTATGAAAAATAAATAAATAAAAAATAACAACAATAAAAATAAGAGATCTGTTCGTCGTCGGCGGCGTACACCCCTGGAGCGCAAATAATCGATATAAGTGCTTCATCATTCGGTTCAACGGAGCCGCTACCGAGCGCCGGGTTGTGCACCTAATCCGTTGAACAGACATACAAAAATAACGACCGGTAATCAATTTCCTTGTGATTAAGGGTTAATTATAATCAATTTTGTGTGCGCATTTCGTCGCCGAGTTCGAAAACAAATTACGTTTTGTACCCGTCGTGGATAGTGACGTAGATACTACCGGGTTTTAGGTAAACAAACAAAAATAAGGGTGTACAGAGTACACTGTACACACATACGCGTGCACACACAAACACACATACACACACACACACACACACACACACACACACACACACACACACACATACGTAGACGGGTGGGCGCGTAGACTATGTATTGGTTTCGGTGGTTATCAACGCTCGAATACTTGAGAAATGGGGTGTTCTACTCAGACGTTCGTCGTTAACAGTACTAATATGCAGTCATAATAAATGTTACGCTTGTTCCAAAAATATTTCATATTCAAACAATGTTTCTCGTGCACGAAAATCTACATTTCTTTATTTTTTATTTTTATTTTTTACTAATCATATTTTTATATTTTTCAAGAGTTGCAAAAGAAATAACTTGTTGAAAAGCCCGAATGGAAATCGAAAAATATACGAACGAAGAAGTCTAAAAGAAGTAGTTTAAAAATTTGCCGCGTCTCATGGTAAACCGATGTTTTATTCATTTTGAAAAAGGAAAACTTTATAAACGGTTTGTTCGCACTCTAAATTCATTCTCGATGGTTCGAAAGACCATTATAAAGGGCCTCTCCAATTCAGATTTTTTATACACAATAAAATTTAGATAGGTATTGTTTTCTTCAATTTGTCATGGCGGATTTTACTGAACGGTATGTATTCGACCATTCAAACATCAAAATCTGGCATTAAAATGTATAATGTACCTTACGTTTGTCGTATTATATTATCACATAAAATTATTTGCGAATACGTTTTTTTGAATTCATGTTAATAGTGAAGTAAACATTGAAAAGCATATTCTTCGAACAAGAATTTAATATCAACAACAAACGATTAAGAAATATACGTTATTTATAACAAAAATATTGACTTATACTACGCCAACTGAATTTTGTGATTTTTAATTAATTACGAATGATTAAAAATGTTTTACAAGTTTGTATGAAAAATAAAATATTGGATTGTGGTTCACTTTTCTATAAAAACATTTCAGATCATTATACAAATTATATTCATACATAATACGAGTACAAATCAAAGTAATACAAATTAATCTTGGAATTAGTGATACTGTCATAATATAAAATGTAAAGTTCATTTTTATTGCTTTAATTTTCTACTAGAAATGAATACGAACTATATTTTAATAATAATTTATTTTTATTTCTGGTAATTATAAATGCTCAGTCTATGCTTTCTATTAAAGTGAATCTTTCTAATGCTACAAAAACGACTTGATTTTTAATGTTATTTATTAATTTTCCGAAAAAATTAAATCTTTTAATGTATTTCTTAAATATTAATTTTGCCATAACAAAATATAAACTTTTATTGTTTTTTTACCGTTGATAGTCTGTAAATTTCACAAATTGTATCAAAAAATATTGACGATTACAAATAGTTTACCCTATAAAGTACCTTTTAATTAACTCTTAGTTACTTCGGTTACTATAGTCCTTACTTAAGTAAATTTGGTGATCCCATAACTATGAGATAAAATGTAAACTTTCTTTTTTGATGAATTTATTGTATTTCGAGTAAGTTTTCTTAAAACCGTCCATCACCCGAAATAACCATGTTTGAAACGCACAGCTCTGATTTGCATAGATTACAGATATTATTTAATAATTAAAAAAAAAAAACTAAAAATTTGAGAAAATTACTAAAAATTGTCTGGAAACGACGAGTCATTTACAGCCAAGACAAAACGTTTAAAATTAAGTCATTATATACCAATAAACGAAATATGTAGAACGAAAAAACGACTAGTTCTTAACCAATTTATATGTATATATATATAAAAATATAAAAATACACACAACGTTGTAAAACCCAATAGTTAGTCGGAGTACCTGGACATTCGTAACTTATAATATAACTGGAACATTGAATTAAAAAAAAAAATAATAATAATAAAATGAAACATTGGTTGTTGCGATAGAATAAAATTTGTTTTGAGTGATTGAAAAATTAATATATAATTAAATAAATAGGTATTTAGTCTGGAGTATAATTATATTTGTAAAGTACGAACAGTTTCCAATTAAAAATTCATCGATGTACGTGTGCATAGTCAATAAAATCCTGACTTGTAGTTCTGGACTTGTAATTTGGATATTCCTCCACCAAGCTTGTGATAAATTAAATCTACATCCCACTACATGTATTAAAGGCCAGACTTGTTTAGTTGCAAAATGTTTAGCTTGTTTGGAATTGGCAACGACTGTATTTGGATGGAAATCAAGATTAAACATTGCACATTTACTTATCAAAACTCAATATAAATATTCGTATGCACTTGATAACTTGTTTGACAATTTATTACAATTTATTAGTAGAATAAAGTACCCGATTTTCAAATCATGTACCGTAAAAATTTGATACAAATATTTAGAACAAAATTCAAAAGTTCCATCGACAAATATTTTGTCACAACTGCATAAGAATTCTAAACTTGTTTTTGTAGAAAAACATATATTCACCATATTGTAGTATAAAAGCAATAAATTCTCACTTTTATATATATTTGTATCGAAATTATTCAATGGTGTATGCACTTTTCGGTAATGGTGGTAATGTTTTTCTACGAGTATGATAAGCGCTTCGCGTCTTATTGAATGCACATCGTTTAATTTCAAATCTAGCGCAGTAATTGATTGCACTTGATTGCGAATTAATTTTAATGGTCGTGTTATAACTTTTTCCGTTGCTTTTCTTTTTATCGAATATGCAACAGTTTGTCTATTATTAACAACACTTATTTCGTGGTTATGATGTAAGTTAGATTTTAAAAGCACCGTTTCATTTGCATCACATTAAAAATTTGAAGTACACGATTTGACAGTACATCTTCACTTAATACCATTTTTCGATTTAGTAAATTTTCGAAACTTATAATCATCGAAGACTAACATAAGTTTAGGCTTTTCACTAGCTGGTTTAAAATAATCCATGTTGTTAAACCGTTGTCAAACAACTAACAAGAAATAAGTAACTAGGATCATCAATTTGTTAATGTGTTGCGAAACAATTAGGATGATGAATATCTAATAATACTGAAAACTTGTTTTTGTCTATTGCAAAATTTCATACTTGCATGATCAAATGTGCCTAATAATGTTTCACACAACTCTCCACATTGTTATAAAGTATATTATAATCAGTCACTTTAACCAGTAATCGATTTTAATAACAATATTTTCATATCATTAGGTAGGCAAATTTGAATAGCACAATTGGTATCCTGACCCTAAAAAAAAACTTTTCTTTTAGGCACAATTATTCCATGCCCGTCATATCATCATAATATGAATACGTAATTATAAAGTCGTTGATATGTTGTAAATCCAAAAAAAAAAGAAAACGAGAAGAGTACAAAATACAAATCATATTTTTGAACTGGTTTAACGTCCCCCCCCCCCCCCTCCCCCGGTTAATCGGAACTTTGGTGAAATGAGTCGCTTAGTCGGCAATTGAACAAGAGCATGACGACTGCTATATTTTAGAAAAAAATTGAGATCACGCCACTGAACCCGTACTAAACTCTGTGGTTTTCAAGCGATTTCAAATGCTTTGGATTAGTATTTTATCACCCTTAATACTTAAAAAATCTCAGCTGACGTAGTGCACATAAATCCAAGAATCTAAATTTATTACTTCGAGTGCCGGCGTCGTGTACTACTTTAAACTGGCGGATGCGGTTGATTCTATTCGACTATTATTTGCGTGACAAAAATATTTTCTTGCAACGTTATACGATTGTTTTTTTTCCGCTCCCTAAACTGGAACTGTATATCGTTGTTTTACGTTTCCTGATCCGTCATCCAGACGTATCAAACACGAAATCGTATAATTTTCGGCCACCGAACGCGCTTAAGGGACGCACTACCACTCGGGCGAGTAAAAAATCCTCGTTCAAACAAAGCATAGTTGTTGATCCATTAGTAATTCTTTTTCGAGACAGCTAAATCACTGTAGTCGTGTTTTGCGCTTTTGGTAAATAAAAAAAGAAATAAAAAATCGCTCCGCTAAAATATTGATAACGATTTATGTACATTTTGAAATCTTAATACCGACAATAAATCGCGTAATAGCAATATGTGTGACTTGTTTATATTATAAATACGGAACACGAAAAGTTACTGCGTACATTAAGTGGTAGATGTGTGCTTACACTATATTATACGTCACCGTAGTACTAATGTATTTTATTAGTATTTTTTTTTTTTTTTTTTTGTAAATACTTATAAATTGAAAAACAACTTAAATACAACAGAAAAAAAAACCTCGTTCTACACAGAATCTTTTCTCGATTGCGATGATTTATCGTTGCTTTCAAATTTATAACAATAATAATAAAACACTGTCTACTCTATCCGTGAGCACCGACCCGTTCAAAACAGTGGCTTACCGATAACCAGGGCCGTAACTAATGTGCAAATAGGGCCTGGGCTACCTCGTACACCTCGGTCTTTCTTTATTTCTGACATCAAATGGTACCATGTTGTTGTAATGATGCTTGGTGGTGTGAAACACGTTAAACAATTTTTCATTGTTTTATTTATTTTTTTTATTAGACCATCATCTGCTTGTGTTGATATTATTTACGTACGCATATAGAAATTTATTTAATTAAACATTAAAGCAAGTACTGTCAACAAAATTAAGAATTGAACGAAATATGTATTATTATTGTGTATTATGTCATGTAATTCAAATATTGATTGATGAAAAATAAATATTATAAGATTATACTTGTGAAATTTTAATAACTAAAATTAAATTGAAGAATAGGTTATGTTCATTATTTGTGTGTTGTGATAAAATTTAAAATTATGTACACCAAAAAAGGACAGGATCACATGTGAAAAAAATAACTATCAAAATTTCGTTATAAAAAAGTTATTTTACTTTGAACCAAAACAACACCGATAAAATTTGGTTCAAATAATATATTTCATTTCTAAACACTAAACAATAATAAAATAAAATATTAAAATATTCTAAAAAG